TGAGCAAAATCTTCAGAAATACGAACTGTTGTCTCCTACGACCACCACTCCCTCTTTCCTTCTCTTTATTCCCCAGCCAGGGAGGGGCCATTCGGCATCCACGTGTGCTTTCCTTCCCGAGTCGACTCCTTGTCCTCCGTTGTTCTCCTCTCCTAACTGCTCTGTGTATACGTGCATCTGGAACAGGCCCCAGCTGTTCTTCCTCCTCACTCATCTCAGCCTCTACAGGCAGCTGCCTCTGTGATGGCTGGGAAATGTCGGACGGCCCCGGCTCCATCTCTGCGTCTGACACAGAGCATCCATCAAAGCCTTTCCTAGACTCCAGGACTAGCCCAAGTTCTGTTCTGCTGGCAGCTGGCGGGCCACAACAGTAAATGAATAATAATAATAATAATAATAATAATAATAATAATAATAATAATAATAATAATAATAATAATAATAATAATAATAATAATAATATAATTTTATTTCTATACCGCCCTTCTCCTGAAGGACTCAGGGCGGTGTACAGCCTATTTAAAAACACAAGACAAAACAACGATTAAAAATTTAAAATACTTAAATAGATTTGGCTCAATTTAAAACCCCAGAAATTTAAAATACCCCAATTTAAAATTATTATGTTGATAGCCCGGCCTGGCGGAACAACAGGGTCTTCAGTGCGCAGCGAAATGAAGTCAGATAAAATGTTATAACAATTCGTTAAGTGGTATTTAGTGCTTATGTGGTCCTTAAATGAATCCAGCTCTCCCAAATCGGCATTTTGTTGTCGGAAATTGGCAAAAAAAGATGGCAAACTGCAATCACAACCGGTCACAAAGGTGACTCAGTTGCCAATGGCAATTACAAAACTGTTAAGAGCGGTGCGACGGCTGTAAGTAGGAGTTATAAGGCGCTTTTTCTGAATGCATTGTCATTTTGAACCTTTCTTAGATAAATAAATCAAGAAGTACCTGTACTTGCCATGCCTTTTCTAAACCAGGTGAACAGGAGCAGGCCATTTCACCACAAAAGGAAAAGGCTAAATCAAGTGAGGAAGGTGAAATCATGAATGTCGGTCTAGTCTAGACCCACATCACACAGTCTGCTCACACACACCTTACCCAGTAGCTCTGTTTTGAAAACTTGAGATCGGGTTGAATTATAAGGAAGTGGCTTGCACTGAGTGTCTTTTCCGGAAAAGCAGTGTGGCTTTAACTCAAGAAGTGACTCCTGGCTGGTGAGGTGAGTAAGAGACCTTGGTGAAGGCAGGTAAGGTGTTTGTAAGGCATACCGGAAAGGCAAAGTTTGTGGGAGAATTCCCCTCGTTTAGCAGTTTCTTGAAACAAGGTAAAGGAGGCTATGACCTATATCACACACACAAAAACTTTGCATTGCCTCTGTTAAGTTGGTCAAGAGCCGAAATGGAAAATATTTCAATTCTGGGCTACACGCCTCACAGTTTCCCCTGCTGCTTTTCCTCACTCACCCAGAACATAATAAACAAGACAAGAAGTAACGGATGGAAGGTCATCAAAGGGAGATGCAACCGAGAATCAAGGAGCAATTTGTTGACAATGAGAATGATTAATCGAGGGAGTAGTTTTTCTCCAGGAATTAGGGCTGCTCCATCACTAGAGTTTTCAAGAATAAACATTTGTCTGGAATGATATAGGGCATGAGCAAGGGGTTGGACTAGAAGACCTCCAAGATCCCTTCCAATTCTCTTATTCTATGTTCTAAGACAGCACTTACTTTTAAGGGGTCTGTTATACCTGGGCTGCAAAATTCCAAGGAACCAGGAGATGGTTTCTGTTTCTCACTCCAGGGGAATCTGGATTATTGCAGCCCTGTACTGTAGGGTATAATAACCACACACAATTCAGTCCTTTTTATTCTGAATGTTTGGAAAGAAACCACATAAAGGGTCTGGGAACTGTGTCTGTCCATCAGCAGGATAACGCTCTAAAACCTGAACTGAACAGAGCCAAATATGCCACTGTGGGAGGGTGATAAGAAAAGCATTCCAGAAAAAAAAAATTCTTTAGAGTGGGAATGGCCTTTGAGAGAAGGAGGAAGAGCTGCAGCCTAGAACAACGGTCTGATAAGTGAAATTTGAATCCAAAGGAGGAGAGGTGGAGAGTGCATCTCAGAAGAGACCCTCCCTAGTTTTGGAGAGAGTAAAAGCAAGGGATGGGGAGGGTACTTTCAGGCTTTTTAGCCCTTAGACCTAGTGCAGACAAGAAGTACAGGCAGATGTATTCTTTATTGCAAGGATCCTTCATAGTCTGAAATGTGCAGGAGAAATTGCTCAATATACAGCGATTTTTATGGCACGTTAGTAGAAGGTTCTCTCATTTCTAAAACTGTGTTTGCTGAAACAATGCACAGAATGTGAGAGAAGAGGCTTGTTTATATTCCCTTGACTTTGGTTTCTTTGCAAAATGGCACCCAGTAGTGTGAGAAAAGAGGGACACGGTGGCTCAGTGGATAAGACGCTGAGCTTGTCGATCGAAAGGTCGGCAGTTCAGCGGTTCGAATCCCTAGTGCCGCGTAACGGGGTGAGCTCCCGTGACTTGTCCCAGCTTCTGCCAACCTAGCAGTTCGAAAGCAGGTCAAAAATGCAAGTAGAAAAACAGGGACCACCTTTGGTGGGAAGGGAACAGCGTTCCGTGCACCTTTGGCGTTGAGTCATGCCGGCCACAGGACCACGGAGACGTCTTTGGACAGCGCTGGCTCTTTGCCTTTGAAACGGAGATGAGCACCACCCCCTAGAGTCGGGAATGACTAGCACATATGTGCAAGGGGAACCTTTACCTTTTAGTGTGAGAGAAATCCCAATGACCATTTTTGCAAGATGCAAGAAGAAACCATATGCACTTCAGGCACGGCTTGTGTTAGGATACACAGTGGATATCAACGCAATAAACAAAACGGTAATCTGTCATATAAATAATAGCTGCTAGATATAATCCATCAATCTACGCCTGTTTTTAGTGAATAACTTAAAGCTATCGTTTAAAGCGATCATCGTTTTTTTTAAACTAGAACTGACAAGCTCTTCCTGCTAGATTTTATCTCTCACACTAGAAGATCAGTTCCATCGTTTACAAATAGGAAGGGGAAGATCACAAAGTTTTGCACCAAAAATCTCTGAAAGGTTTGCACCAATATTGTGTGCTTGGCCCTATGGAGCAGTATGCTTCACAAATATACATGAAAGAGCAACCAAAAAGTGAAAAGAAGCAAAAGTACCTAGAAAAAAACACATCATTACAGGGAAATGAAATGTTTTCTAGAAATGACTAAGATGAGACTCGAGATAAGTCTAGCCATGCAAACTGAGGAAATGACTTTTTTTTTTCCCTGGGTTCCTGCTCGGCTTAATCAAGTTAGAAGTAATGATAACTATTTAAATTAGCACTGGTGTTTTTGATAACTGGTGGCTCCATATACCCTACTGAGTAACACCACCAAGAAATGCAATTATTAATGAAACCCAGTCTGTGGTTTCGAATGAGAGCCATACATGTGATTCTTCTGTATTTATTCGAAAATAAAGAGAAAACGGAGAGAACACACAGACACACACATACACATCTCCAATGTATTCTCCTCCATGTTGAATAATCCACAACAAACCACTATGGAAATTTTGTGCCCAGGGAAGCACAATGATACAAAGGTACCATATTACAGTTTAGCTGTATTTCTAAATTGTTAAACCGACAGGGTGATATGATCTCATTACATTGACAGAAATGTTTATCAAAGACAAGAATGGGAGATGCCTTCGCAAATGACAGAATCGGTTTGCTTATGTAGCTTCAAGGCAGCTGGGCTAATTTTTTCCCTTATTCCAAAATGGGCTCGAAATTGCCATTGTCCCAAATATATGCTGTCTTTAAAAATTTACCCAGAGTAGGTAACAGATGAGAAACTACTGTCCAGGTGCATTACAGCCACAGCTATTGCTTCCAAGGTTGTCATAACTTTTGAGGGGCAAGAATCAAATCAAGTGTTGTGCTGACTTTCTTTTTCTTCTTCTTTGGTGCACTCGTGTTTTCTTGGCTGGAAGCAAAGTCCATTTGCCATGTCTGCAAGAACCACCAAAGAGAACATTTAATACATTTAATATTCATATTTACTCATTCTGTTTTATTTTGAAATTTTTCAATACTGCCCTTCACTCACAAAAATGGATTGCTGGACTCGGTACAAAGGTAAGGGAATAATGCTAAAACGGTTTGTGTTTATCTTATACAAATAAAAAAGAAAGAAGTATGAAAGAGGCAGCAAACAACATTCTTAGAATAAAAATGAAATTAATAGGTCTGAACGTATAATGTAATTTTTTTTTTCATCTGGCACCCAATGAATACAAAACTTCAAAATGTAGTAATGGATAGGTGAAATCAGCTCTTTGGGTATATGGACCATAGGTAGTTTAGAATTTTAAAATGAACTATAAATTGGGCTCAGAAGCAAGTCATTCAATGATAACAGTATAATACACTTCACTTATTCAAATTCAGAAGTCTAGCCTAGAGTTCTGAATCTACTCCGTGGACAACCCACATATGATGCCTCACAAAAATCTTACTTAAGAGCAAGGCTAGCCCCATTGAGGAAGGAAAGGCTGTTTCTGCAGGACTAACTCAATTCAATAATAGATACCACAAGTCAATGAACATATCTGGGTCAGTAATAATAATATGATTAATCAAATACAGTAAAATATGATTATTCTCTCTATATCTAGCAATTCTGCTCTTCAATAGTGCTAACGATTACAACTTGGTAACATTTGGAGGGGCTTTGGAAAGGTTCAACTATACTTGGGGCTACAGATTATTGATCTTTTCAGATAGTGCCCTCCCTGTTGCTTTACAAATTAACAGGATGGAACTACTAATAACGAACACTGATTTGCCAAACAAATGTTATTTTGATTATTAATTGTATTTAATCAATTGAGAAAATTCTGTAGCCATAATAGATTTTTATTTCAGCAAACATTGGGTAACATATTTTTTCACATTTTGATTAGCAGTTAACTGTAGACTGAATGACACAATAATTACAAATGGATACAGGATGGACTTGACAATCACACTAATATACTGCTCACTGATGAAGTGAAGTATTGAGTGTGGTACTACGAGCTTTGGTTTGAAGCTCTTCAACATTTTCAGTGAACAGATAAAACAAGTAAGTACCAACTTTTTGGATGATTCAAAATTGGTAAATATTTAAAAGATGAGGTTAACATTCAGAATGAACATTTACTAGGAAACAGAAAGTGAATGCGGGGGCACAAGAAGGGAAATATGTGGTTGGGTGTTAATGAAAAATTATTGTAAACTGGTTATAAATTGAATACTGCATGAGTAAAAAATGGGATTGGACACCAAAAAGCTTAATCAAATTTTAAATTGCAACAACAGAATTACTCTTTTAAGTCATGTAAAATATAGTAGTATCACCTTATTTTGCATTGATCAAATCCCACCTCAAATATAAGTATATAGGGTGGGGAATTGTGGTGGGTGGGAGTGTGTTTGGGGATTATGTGTGTGGGACCTGGTCTTTGGGTGTCAAGTAAATTTTGTTGTATGTGTATACTGTTTATACACATACAATGACAATAAAGTTTATTTATTTAAAATGTTTGAGTGTTTCTGATTTTAGTTCTTTGGTGATTTCTTTTCTCCTCTTTCCCCGCATCTTAGATTCTTAAATCTGCCTTGCAACATAATATGTACTGTGATGTGTGCTATACATGGAAGCTATTCATGCTTAAATTTGTCCAACATCTGTTATTAATATGAGGTGGTAATTTTGTCATTATTGGATGTTCTCCAAGTTTAAATTCCCAGTGTAATATGGTTGGTAAGGAATTTCTGGTGTTCAAAATGTTGCTCAATTGCTGATTTCCCTTACATATTCCTGATCGGAAATCTGAATTTTTGTAAATAAAAAAAAATAACTTTATGTAAGAAAGGAAAACATTTGTAACATATAAAATGGTAGGTAAAACTGATGCAAGTGTCATTGTGACTATGTTTACGTGGTAGTTAATTAATTCAAAGATTTTTTTTTATGAAAAAGCAGGAAATGGGTCACAATTCTGTGAAGATACTGATTCCATATTCTAAAAAGCCTGCGTGCAGTGTCCTAATTTAATCCTGTATGATATCATGTTTCATAGAATCATATGATTGCCTTACCAGGGAAGAGTGATGTATCATTCTTTGAAATATAGTATCATCCAAAACAAATTAATAAACTCTACGCAGGATTTAGTTTCCAATGTTGTTTCAGCCATACTGAGTAACTTCATTGAGGACGTGTTATCGCTCAGTGGTAGAATTACAGCGCTTGCAAAATTACCTCGGTTCAATCTCTGATACTATCCAAGAAATCTGGAAAATGCTATTACAGTAAAATGTCATTGTAATGGGACTAACTAGAAGACTTTGTTATTCACAAATGTCTGTTAAATATGAAAGTATTGTGTGAGCAATCCTTAAACATGACAATTGTACAAGCTTATGCTCCGACCATTGATGTAAGAGAAGAGGACAAAAGAAGATGAGTTTTATGTTCAGTCAAGCAAAATGCACTCGTTGAAGGAATGTCAAAATTGGAAAAAACAAAAGGAAGTGAATTGATGGTAGAAAGGTTTGGGGACCCCTGCTCTAAAACATTACAGAAAAGCTAAAGGTTTTGCTTGTTTGTTTTTTTTTGTAGAATTCTGCCGCAGCCCTGGTAGAATACACTGTGTTATCCTAGAAGTGAAGATATTCACCTCCCACTCAGAAAGTTGAGAGTTCAATCCTAAGCAAGGACAGATGTTTCTCTATCAGGGCACAAAGAGAAACTATCTGCTGCAAAGTTCAGGTAGGTATCAGAAAGGGTATCTGGCCAGTAAACACTCAGCTCCAGAGTAGATTTAATAATTCTATGTATTCTATACACTTTTACACAATTTTACACACATCAACAGTGACAGAACTGCAGCTACATCAACCACATTTTCTCTGAAGAAACATTATTTGAGCTGCGGTGGCACAGTGGTTAGAATGCAATACTGCAGGCTACTTCTGCTGACTGCCGGCTGCCTGAAATTTGACAGTTCGAATCTCCCTAGGCTCAAGGTTGACTCAGCCTTCCATACTTCCGAGGTGGGTAAAATGAGGACTCAGGATTGTTGGGGGCAAGAGGCTAATTCTGAAAACCACGTACAGAGGGCTATAAAGCACTGTGAAGCGGTATATAAGGGCTATTGCTACTGCTATTTCTTTTGAACATTGTTTTATTTTGATTAAAGTTATTAACACACAGGTCAGCTTCTGTGAAGACCTATGTGTACCAACCAGGAACTTGTGAATATACAGTAACAACAAACCTTGGTTCACAGCTAAACTTAAGCAGCTACGTCATTCCAAAGAGGAAGCCTACAGAAAAGGTGATAAAATGCTGTACAATCAGGCCAGAATGTATTAACAAGAGAGATCAGAACAACAAAAAGAAGATACTCTGAAAAGCTAAGAAATCACTTCTCAACAAATGAACTCTAAGATGCAGATCTCTAAGATGATAGGATTTATTGTTGGACCAGTAATGGTCCATTAATGACCAAATGGATTCACTTGGCTGGTCCAGTAATGGCTCATGTAATTCTTCACAGGGAAAGCATTACACCTTCAAAGTCTCAGTATTCTAGTCATCCACAATTGCATACATGTCTGTTGTTAGAGGAAAAGTGTCTTGGGAGGTTCATTTTAGTATTTAATTCTGCTAGCGTTCAAATCAGGCCTAGGCTGAATCTTTAGCCTAACTTTCTTCATCATTTTAAACCGGTAGGGTGAAAATATTTCTCAACCAGTAGAGAGGTTACTGATATGCCTCTCTGGGTTAATTAACCAATACATCTTAATTAGATTACATTAGATTAAACACAAGAACTTTAGAAAACTCAAATACGTTTAAAGACTCACTTTTTTTTTTTAACCAAATACAGTAAGGAAAAACACAAAGGGGAAATGAAAAATTCCGTGGAATTATTTCCATATAAGCATGTCCATTGAAAAGTGACGTGGCCAGAAAGGCATTTCCATCTTCTGGAGACCTGCTCTCTGCCTTCTCCCAGACAGATGTTCCTTGTGCACTTCCCTTGAATGGAGACAAGAGAGAAGATCCGCGATCCGCCCTCTGGCCTTTGGGAACTGCCAAGACCAATATTAGGGATGGGGAGATGGTAGAGTTTCCTAGGGAAGGATGGAAAAGGGTCCCCACCCTGTCTGCTACAATATTTTCCCTGCCATTCTTCTACCAAGCCGAAGGGTGGATAGGAAAGAACTGGAAAACTAACTTTTAGGGCAGGCTCAACATTTCCCAATGTTGTTTGGGATCCTAGACAATTCAGTTCCTTTGCAATGGGTGTGGCATCTTTATAAAATGAGGGAAATGTAATTGTCATGTTTTAAAAATAAAAAGGCATTTGGACAGTTACCAGATTTAAGAGGCCAGGCCTCTTAAATGTTCTATGTGCAGGCAAAGGACAATTTTTAAAAGCTATTAAGGTACTTACGAGGAGTTGCAATCTTGTCTCCTCTAATTTCTACATTATCCTACTATTTAATGTCACTTTTCTCACCTCAAAGCTCAAATCTGATCTCTTTATGCATCTTGTAGGGGAGATGGGTGGCACAGAAATTAAATCAACCAACAAAGAAATAAAATCTATACAGGCTTATTTTTTCAAGTATTGCAAGCTTGCATTTAAAAAAAACTCGCATATGATATGTGTTAGCATATTTAGGTTTATAATATAGAGCTCCATGATAATCAATTTGAAATTAATCAAAGGATAATAAAAATGGATTGAGGAGAGCCATTAAGCTGCAGACAAAATTAAATTTGCAAGATCAATTAGAGTTTATGTGCAATTTGGTGTCAAAACTAGAAATCCTGTTTTTTAGTTCTGTATTTCATAATAACTAGTCAAATGAACTGGCATCCTGATATATCAATAGATCATATCCTGATAGCATCATTTCCTGTCCTTGCTCCATATTTCTAGGTACTTATCAACAGCAATGTCTAATACGTTAATGATTTCGGGACCAGGCGAATTTAACAGAATAGGAGAAAAAGAGAAGTAGGAACTAAGGATGTGGTTACCATTCTGGTTTCCATTGTGTCTTTAGAAGAACATTTTTCTTGGACCTGGGAGAAAGGGAAATTAAAATATTAAAAACTAATATGGTAAATTCCACAACAGTGGTTAACAGAACTGGAAGGGACCTTGGAGGTCTCTTAGTCCAATCCTCTCTCAAGCAGGAAACCCTATATACCGGTAATTTCACACAAATGCTTGTTAAACGTTCTAAGAAATTTCTCCTTTTGTTCTAGGTTGGTTCTCTCCTTGATTAGTTTCCATCCATTATTTCTTGTTCTGCCTTTAGATGCTTGTGGCAGCCTCTTAGATATTGGAAGACTGCTATCCTGTCACACCTAGTCCTTCTTTTAATTAAACTATACATATCCAATAGTTTATGATTTAGTGCATTGTGCAAATACAGAAAGGAAGTACAGTTCAGGAAGCCAAGTCATCTTAATTTGGTTGTTCAGTAAACTGCAAAGAAAGAGACTGAATCACACCCCCATACATTCTTTAGCTTCCTTTGCCTACATTTAATGGTATTTGGCATAATCTAAATCCAAATATCTCACCCACGATGTGTCAAGTTGTGGTTTTTTTGAACTGCCATCGCATGGATTCCAGTGAGCGACCTGCTGCCCAATAATTTTGCTTACCTATTTCCTAGTGAGATAATAGGTAGGGAAAGTCCCTCTGCTAAGTAGAACAGAATTAATGAATCATTCATAAAGTAATAGCTTTTCCAGACAAATAAACTGGTTTTGCCTAGTGGCTTGATTTCCATTTTTCCATGAAATGAGCACATGATCATTCAAGCCAACCAGTCCTGAAAAATAGGGAACAACAGTTTCCCCATGAAAAAAATAAAATAAAAATCTATCAGCAAACTGAAAAATTGTTGGTGCTATAAAGGTACAGCTTGGGCACCAAAAGGTAGAAGAGACAATGGGCTCATATCAATTCTTTGTTGATGGAATGTTCTCTTGCAAATGGACACCAAATTGTAATATAAGCCATTAGTTGACATTTCTGGAGAAGGCACAGTGTCATGGTATTTTAATGAGGACTGCTGTTCAGTGAATGACTCAGCAAATCTGGGATTGCTGACTCAAGAAAAGTGTCTATTTTTAAGCAAGAAATGGGGCTTAAGGGAACAAACAGCCCAGAAACCTACTCAGCCGTTACTTCAAACAAAATACCAGATCATCATTTCAACTCTACCAGGCAAACCGAGGCCATGATTTCTGAGGTCAGAAATAGACAAAGACTAAGATTCTGTCTGCATTTTAAATGTTTAGAGTACAGACACAGGTTTCACTTAGATTCTTGTCCAACACAAAGTTCTGGCTAGCACCAGACGACAAAAAATAAGTCAAAACAGCAATGCTCACTTTGTGAGACGTCTTAGTACCGCATTCTTTCTCTGTCTCTTCAGCTCCATCCTTTCTGATTGTTTCTAAAATAAACAGTTTATATAATTTGCAGGCACAGATCAAAAATATTTTGCATATAAAAATAAAGAAATCTTGGGAAAATGGCAATAATCTATCTAAACAGAAATTTGTCTGTGTGAAAGTAGGCATTATTTGTTAATTGAAAAAATATTATCATCTCAGTCTTGAGCCAAAAACATCCATTTACGTATAATCAAAAGTCAGAATAGTTCCTACACACAGGCATCCAAGATTATTAGATTCATACATGTCAATATGACAAGGAAAAAGAACATCTAAATCGTATTAGGGGACTGAATTATTTACAAATAAATATTGTACTCCAGACGTTGAAGTGATTTGGGTGATCTTGAATAAAACTTACATGATACATTATTTATGGCCTTTCATGAAAGAAAACAGATTTGAAAAATCTTTGCTTATGTCCACCAAAGCCAGCATGCAATAGCAATGTAGAAGTAGTTGATAATCTAAGGGACATGGCATAAGAATAAAAGATAGAAGAAAGGAGGGCACTGGCACTCCCTCTGCCGTGATGACCTTTTAGTCTTGGGGATTTTTTAAATTTTGATTTTCACATTTAACTCGTAAATTTTAACCTTGTTCTTAATTTTGTTTCCAATGTTTGGTTTTAATCATGTGTTTATGTTGTTTTATTAAGTTGTTCGTACACAGGTGAGATAGCAAGAAAAAGTTAGACAATCATTTGTCTGGGATGACCTAAGATCTCCTGCTTTGGGAAGGGAGTTGGACTATAAGACCTTTAGGGTCCCTTTCTGCCCTATGATTGTAGAAATGTAATGACTGGCTGGCTGACTGACCGGTTGACTAACAAAAGAGAGAGGGGGAGAAAGGCGGAGAGGAGAGAAAAGGGGAGGGGGGAGAGATACTTTGATAGATTATACTTAGAGTGATTATTTATTTGGAGGGGGGGGAATAAAAGCTAAACCAGGAAAGGGGGCAAACTTGAAAGACTAAGGATTAGGAAAAAAAACTGTTCATGTTTCTAACTTTGCTTTAAAAAAGAAAATTCAAGAGTAGAACAAAGAACAATCTTACAGAAACACATATTCTATTAAAATGTCTAAAATCAAATAGTGTACGTAAATTTATTTTAAAAAGGCAATTCAATCCCCGTATTTTTCACACGAACGTAAAACACTGTGCATGAAGTGATACCATTGATATGGTAAAAGTTGCGTGTCCAAAATAAAAGATAAAAGTGAGTTTTGGAAGAATAAATAAACTAGAAAGACAGCTTTCTGAAATAAAGGACTAGGAGCATTCATCCTTGTCCTTTATAATGAAGGGTATGGGGTTACTGTAAATAGAGTCCATGAAACCATTATAAAATATATTAGATGAATGCTCCTATTCATGTGTGAGATTTTGCAGAAGGGAGCAAGGGATGACACATTTGCTGCATGCAAATATGTATCTAATGGATGATACCACTCTTAGGAGGAGGAACATTAGGCTCCTAAGATACCTGGGCAATGCTGACTGTGACTTATGACCATTTGTTACACTTACAATCGTTGCAGCATTCTCCTAGTCACCCAATCAAAATTCAGACGCTTGGCAACTGACTCATATTTGGGATGGTTTCCTTGTCCCGAGTTCAAGTGATCACCTTTTGTGACCTTGTAACAAGCAAAGTCAAAGGGGGAAGCCAAATTCACTTAACAACCGTGTTGCTAACTTAGTTGCAGTGATTCACTTAACGACTGTGGCAAAAAAAAGGTTGTAAAATGGGGCAAAACTCACTGTCTTGCTTAGCAATGGAAATTTTGGGCTGAATTGTGGTCATAAGTGAAGGCTGATCTGTACCTCAAAATCAAGCAAACTATGTCATATAAATCCGATGTCCAGTTAATGACAGAAAATGCCTCTGGGATGTACACATAATGTAAGTTTTAGATAGATATACCTGTTATATCTGGATTCAAAGGGGGCATGTGCTGTGACACTGCATTTTCTTCAAACATCCTATTTTTATCCACGTAAGCAGCCATAAACTTCCTCTGCAAAACAATTCACCATGTAATGTTCCATTTCTTTAATTTCAGTTAAAGGAAGACGTAACCGCCTTATTTGCCTAACTGACAATAAAAGGTATTTGCTCAATTCACAGCATGACACATTGTGATATGTGAATTTGGTTAACCCATAGGTTAAATGTACCAGAATTGAAAGTCTTGCTATAAAAGTGAAAGTAATGAGGGAATTTAAAAACTGTTAGAATAACCACAGGAGAGAAAACAGGTAGGTTTCTCTAATAGTTTTCTAATGGTTTAATCATCATCACTTTCTCAGATCACCTTGGCCACTGTATGAGAAATGAGAATGGTGTGTATTTTCCCTTAGAAATTTAAAATACACTTTAACTAACAGTTCCCTGCAGGAGAAGTTTCCCTTTCAGAGAGGACTCCACCTTCATTCATTTACAGAAAATCATATACAAAAAAAAAAAAAAAAGAAAGAAAAACCACCTGCCTTGCTCATTGGCAACGTCGCACAAATGAGATTCGGTCTCTGTTAATGTGACTGATTTGTGTCAGCACAAACCTAATGCTGTTAAATCTATCTGGGGGAAGTCTGTGTGCCTGTGTGTGCAGATATGTGACTGAAATAACTACTGTAAGGACAACTCCAGTGGGGCTTTTTTTCTGGGTAAAAATAACTAAATTGGGACACATTTTTTCCCTGTGCAAAAACAGGTACATTTTGACCTATGCCTTCTGATTAAGTGTATTAATTTATTAATTTATTAAATTTATTTATTTATTAAATAAATAAAATTAATAAATAAATAATAAAAATTAAGTTGGCGGACAGGCTTTGTTCATTTTGGAAAGAGATTGCTGTTATGGCCTACAGGTAGAGTATAAAAATAAGAGTCATATCCTGCTCTAAGGGAGGAGGAATAGTAATGGACAAATTTCATCCTTTTCCTAGGGGACAATATGCTTTTTTTACGGAAGTTAGCAGAAGCTCTTTTTCACTTCACAAGAAGTCAAATATTAACTTTTCCCCATAGCTAACAAATTATTTATTTACTAAATTGATAAGCTGCCTTACAGGAGCTGAATAAGATGCAAACCGCATCACCTCTTCCCAGGTTTTCTCACCAAGAAAAAGCCGTGAGGTAACAATAGAAGAGAATATCTGTAGCTCAGGGCTGAACTGTGGAATTCTTGGTGTTCTCTGAGCTACTGCTGTTTGTTTGTGGATGTTCAACTAGATTGATTAATACATTTAAATCTCGATCTTTCCAATAATATTCGTACACCATACTGGCTCTCCCCAGTAAGTTTTAATCTGTGGGCCTTTTCTCTTATGTGTGTAGCTTTAGCCTTTAAACTTTCCTTCAGGTCTTCATGGGAGATGGAGTTGATCCACCTTCAATGAATCTACCTGGTGTGTTCCATCATCCTAGATCCAGATCTAATGTAAAGACAATTTAAACTTGTACTGTCAATATATATTCAAAGAATCATGTCATACACAGGAAGATTTTTTTTAAGCAAATCTACTGAATAATTAGGCATGCCTATAAACCTCCTAGGAATAAAGTAATTCAGATTTGCCTTTAAAAAAAACCATAACAGTATATTTAACAGGAGTACTTAAAACAGGTGCCCTGCCTTTAAGTAATAAGGCTATGCACAACTACCTCATAACCCATTTTACGACTGATGTTAGGAAAGCAAAACTCCCACTATAAGGTCACCCTCATTTTTGTACAAACTGGTTTGTGGAAATGTAACCTGTTCTGGTGCTTTAGTGCTGTCCTCTTCTTCTTCTTCATCATCACAGTCTAAACCTTGGTGGGAGATTTCAGTGGGACCATTCTCTTCCACCAGACTGTTCTCCAGCATCCCCATCCTTTTGCTGTCTGTTGTTACCCTCACTTTCAATACATGGAATCCAGTGGAAACAGATCCTACTTTGAGGTTCACAGGGTCACCATCAAAAAGAAGACCATCTGAGCTGTCGCCTTCCTTGAAGCCATGAGGTTGGTAATCAATGGGTGTGACTGCAAAGGAAGCAGGTGTGAAAACTGGAGCAACAGGTACTGACTCTAGGACAAGAATCTATCTCTCTATCTCTCTATCTCTCTATCTCTCTATCTCTCTATCTATATCTATCTATATCTATCTATCTATCTATCTATCTATCTATCTATCTATCATCTATCTATCCATCCATCCACCCGTCCGTCCGTCCGTCTGTCTGTCTGTCTGTCTATGTATCCATCTATCTATCGTGGGGCAAAGCATCTAAATACATTCCATGATCATTATGCACATATTTGCCCCAATAATTTATTTAAAATATGTTTACTTTATGAGTCAGCCAAGAAGTTTCTCATAATGATTTTTTTTTTTTTAGATTAATAAAAATAACAACGTTACGGACAGAGATTATCTTGTCTAGAAAACACAACAGGGAACGAAAAGAGGAGGAAGGGGAAGGAGAAAAATATAAATTCTTGTTCCTAGAGAGAGCAACTTGAATGCAAAGAACTGGGAGAAGAAATGATAGAGCTGGTTTTTAGCAGAATCAGCGGTGAAGGCACTATTTCCCATTTCAAGATTCACAAGTTCTGAGCTAGGATTTTCGAGAGAGAGAGAGGGAGGGAGGGAGGGAGGGAGAACAAGGATCTGGTCTCTGTTTTATTATTGATTCCACATTTAGTTCTAGTTGGGTTGCAAGCCCCCAGTCTTGCATTGGCAACTCCATTGCCATTTCAACGGCAACTTCTAACATCTCTGGGTTGGGTTTTGTCCTAAGTGGAAGCCAGAACAGATAGGAAATCTTGCCACTTACCATCTTTGTAATAGAACAGTTTCATGGTCAAAGTAATATCATTAGGTAGGGGTCCAAGATGCTGCATCAATATATACAATTTGCGGATCAGTAGAATACTGGCTTTTTTAATTTCTTTGCTATTTGTTCCATTGTGAAAGCTGACTTGAGAACTACCAGGAAAACAAAAGATAGGTTAAAAATGATCTTGACTGATGTGGCTTTTTTGGGGGGAGTAGTACAATAAAATTATATATCAATGGAAAGATAATTTATTATCTAATTATCTAATTATCTAATTTAGAATCTAATGCCATAACTTTTATGAAGGATTTGCTATTAGAATAGCAGTTACAGTATAAAGAAGAAAAGTGAAAAGAGGACTTTTTGCAAGCCTTCCAAACTTCAGATGGCAATGTACTTATTTATTTATTTATTTATTGGTTCGATTTATATGCCGCCCTTCTCCGGAGACTCAGGGCGACTTACAATGCGTTAAGCAATAACCTCCATACTTTTGTATATACCTGCTTAGTAGGGCTTTCGCCCCCCCCCAGCGGTGTTCTTTTTTTATACAAAGTCAGCTTATAGCCCCCACAAACCGGCTCCTCATTTTACCTACCTCGGAAGGATGGAAGGCTGAGTCAACCTTGAGCCTGGTGAGATTTGAATTTGCAGTGATTGCAGGCAGCTGGTGCTACTTAACAACACTTTAGTCTGCTGCGCCACCAAGGCTCTACTTCACGGAATAGGGAAAATAATTTAAAAAGTGTACCATTGGGTTCCCATTCCCTTCATTTTCCTATAAGCGCAGTTAAAGAACTGTGATTGTAATTAATTGTGAAATTAAATAGAATCATACTATGATATTGCCTGACTTGCAACTTTACAGTATTCACCAGAATAAGCTGCTCACAAAAGGAATAATTTAGAGACATTAACAGAACAAAACAAATGACTTCACAGGGTACTAAATGATTAAACCATCCTAAAAATGGGACAAGAGGCACAAGGACTAAATCTAAGCCATATGTGCCATCCAAAAGTATTTTGGGCACTAAGTAAAGTCACTGTGAGTCCAGTGTTAAATACCTAAACCAATGCCACATTGATCCAATGCCAGATGGAGTCCCTACTGAAAAAGACTTGTTAGAGACAGCTAGAGTATCCAGATGGATTTGCCACAAATAGGATGATGATGATACATTAATTAAGTCAGATGTCTATATTCCACAAGTAAGACATTTGTTAGGATTGGGGTACCATTTCTCAGTTGCAGCGTAAGCCAAAAGAGTAAAAACTAAACACTGCATTAGGACAAATATAGCGTACCCACTGACTCATTTTACTGGAAGGACAGGACAAAGCTGTAGAGTCCTTTTTATAATTTCAATAAGATAAATAGGGCAACTAAGGCATACTGGTGGTTGGCAATTGTCTAGAATTGCAAACTGGGTCATTAACAGTGAATTGACACTATGATGCACCAGGGCACATCTCCAAATACACAAAAAGATGATGAATACTCTTTTTGTCGGAGTACTGAACTTATGTCTCTGGGTGTCCCCTCTAAAAAAATAAGAAATGGTGCATTAATTCCCATTAGACAGAATGGACCCAGCTTAAATGGAAAAAAAAAAAAAGGCTGGATGGTAGGTACAACATATCTCTCTGTTTTTCACAAGCAGCTCCAGTTCACACAGTGAGCAGAGACTATGAGACTGGTGCATAATGAAGGATGAGCTGTCCAAAAAAGCAGCTGAAGGGGCAAATTATTTTTTTGTCCTCCCGCAACTTCCAAAATTACCACATTATACCAAAACATGCTTCAAAATTAAGAGTATATTTCCACATGAATTGTACCACCAGGTGGAAAAAAAAGTTCCTTTTAGGTCTATGCTGAGATTTTTTAAAAATCCACCTGCCACTTTCCAACATGATCTTGAGCTATTATGATTTCAAGCTGTTTAGATGCACAACGACTGAGATGTGATTGTGTTTATAAACGTTTGCTCCATAAGCAGCAATTTGCTACAGTAATCAGTTTCCATAGTTCTGAAAAAATAAAGGATTTGTTAATAAACCTACATTAGAGACTACACTTACACAATGAAAATATTAAAAATCAAAGAAGTCAGAATTTGCATTCCTGATGACAATTTCCACTCGTGAGATATTTAATATAAAGTGCCTGCTGTTTCCAGAAATTAAAGAACAAGAAATTTACCTAGTAAAGTCCATCTGAGGTCCATTCTTTGTGTATTTGAATTTGAACTGATAGAATTCTGTCAAGTGCTAAGGATTGAACAGGAAACAGAACTTGAGCTCGTTTTCCTTTTTTTAAAGAGAAAACTGAAATATTTAATATTCAAATACAGATTTATATTCGATCAGTGATTCTATTATTATTCAGAAAAATTTACAATTCTTTCAGTCAATTAAAAAAATATAGCAACATGAAAGGAAAAAAAAAACATCGTAAGAACAGAGACAAGAACAGGCTTAGAGATAGGCAAAGGCATTGAATAGGAAATAATCTAATATCATTGCTACAGCATAAATTTAATATCAAACTTTCTCTTAAAGATAGTTTATTAATTATCAGAATAACAGAGTTGGAAGGGACCTTGGAGGTCTTCTAGTCCAACCCCTGCTCATTCAGAAGACCCTACACTTGGTGCCGAAACTGGAGTGCGCGTGTGCGCATGTCGGAAAGCAGAAAACCAGCTCCCCGGTGCATGCATGCACACCAGGCAGCTGCGCTTCAGGTTTCCAGCACTCCCACATGCGCAAAGAGCAGCTGGCCGGCACGCATATGCACGCCAGAATCCAGAAGAGCTCACGCCATAGGTTCACCATCACTGCGCTATACTATTTCAGACAAATGGCTGTCCAGTCTCTGCTTAAAAACCTCCAGTAATGAAACACCCACAATTCCCGGAGGCAAGCCGTACCACTGATTAATTGTTCTCACTGTCAGGAAATTTCTCCTTAATTCTAGGTTGATTCTCTCCTTGATAGGTTTCCTCCCGTTAGTAATTTTCTGTATCTTGAGTATTTGAGTATTTTAATACACAAAGATAATCAGAGGTTTGGGCCAAAAAATTGTCCGAAGGAGGGTGGAAAAAGTGTGAAGTGGCCCACGTTGAATGAAGCAAAAGATAGATGTAATAATGATACTAAAGGGAATTTATATATTTGAGTTGCATCATTATCAAGGCAACTAATCAGATGAATCCTGGCTGACTTAAATATGAAATGAAAAAAATCTGTCTGTACAGCTTGCGGTTTACAGCTTAGGGTCTTACCTCAGGGTCTTTGGGATTGGTATAGATCTGTTTCAAGAAAGTAGACAAAATTAATATGGCTCTTCAATGGATTATCGTAACAAAACAAAGCCAAACCACAGCTTTCTTTGATCACAGGCTGATAATCATAACTGCAGGAATGTTTCTTTTTGTCATTCTTCCTGCATCTGTAACTAGTCACATAAACTGAGCAAATTATGAAATGATGAGAAGAGTGTGTCTATATTTGGAGAAATTAAGTAATTTTTTCCATAAGCCAAGCTCGGATCCAGAGAATTGTTCACCACCTACATAGATAACTGTGGTCAATTCATCAACCCTTCCAACCCACCAGAAATTTGTTTTAAAAATCTCTAATAACAGAAGTGTGTGGCCACATTTAATTTCAGTGAGGGGTTTTTTGCAGAACAGAGATAACACGATCTATTTAGCTAAAATGGTGAGGTGTTTTTGTGCTTCTTTGAGGTCTCGTTCAATTGTTCCACTAGTGGAAGAAGGCTTTATCTTTCCAATAGCAAACAGAAGAGTTGGAAGAGAAGTTATCTTTCCTGGCATTAGTATTTCATTGTTGCCTTTTTCCCCTAGTGGGAGGTATTAATGCTTGGTGAAACTACTTTGTCATGAAAATATCTAGCACAATATCCCAGATTGTCAGATTCAAGCAGAAATATAATAAATATAATAATCTATATCAGTGGTGGAATTCAATTTTTTTTACTACCCGTTCTGTGGGCATGGCTTGGTGGACGTGGTGTGGCTTGGTCGGCGTGGCTTGGTGGGTGTGGCAGGGGAAGGATACTGCAAAATCTCCATTCCCACCCCACTCTGGGGTCAGCCAAAGGTGGTATTTGCCAGTTCTCTGAACTACTCAAAATTTCCACTACCAGTTCTCCAGAACCTGTCAGAACCTGCTGAATAGCACCCCTGATTTATATGATTTGATTGATTGATTCATGTCGACTCTTGTCAAGCACGTAAATTGGGAACTTCAGATGAATATAAGGATTTATTGCAAGCTCTCTACAAGAATCTGAAGTATTAATGGTCAAAGCAAATTGGCGATAGATAACAGTCTCAAGGAACTCAAGATGGGCTGGACTCAGATCTCTCATGGGCACAAACTTCTCGGCCTCAGCCTGGTCATCTCCTACAAACCCTCAGCAACATTAGATAGATTTTTCTCCAGAAGGATCTGTTCCCAGCCTAGTCTTCCAACAGTGCACCATCACCACTGTACCTAAACCCATCTGCCTCTGGCTGATGAATGTTCTGTTTCTATCTTTCCTTCCATCTTTCCCTACATTATAGACTTTTGCAGAAAGCTACGACATCACCTGTCTGAATTATTATCATTTGACCTTGGTCATTTGTGCCTTGAATGAGAATTCTGGGTTTAACAGATTTAACAGATTAATAGAGTTGGAAGGGACCTTGTACTGTAGGTCATCTACAGAAAACCCTGCACCATCTCTGACAAACGGCAGTCCAATCTCTTCTTAAAAGCCTCCAGTGATGAAGCTCCCACAACTTCTGAAGGCAACTTCTGTTCCATGAGTTGATTGTTCTCATTGTCTGAAAATTTGTCCTTATTTCTAGATTGAATCACTCCTTGATCAGTTTCCATCCATTATTCCTTGTCTGGTCTTCGGGTGCCTTGGAAATTTTTTTGTTTGATGTTCCATGGTATTCTCAGGTGTCTTCTCCAACAGCAGAATTCAAAAATGTCAATACTCTTTCAGTCCTGCTTTTTCCAAATTCACTTTCACTTCTATAAAGTACCACAGAGAAAACCAATGCCTGCACCATTCTTATTTTTGTAAGTGCGGACATATCTTGGCATCTGAATACCTTGCCCATGGCCTTGCTAACCTACCAAGCACTAGACTGCACCATATTTTGTGACTACTTGCTCTTTTATTATTAATAGTTGCTCCTAAAAGGCAGAAACTATCCACCACTATTATGGTTGGTTGGTTACCTATTGTCCTTAGTTTGATCTTCTTTACGCTTAGTTTTAGCCCTATATTTTCACTTTGCTTCTTGACTTTATTATTACACTTTGCACTTCACCTATCAGGGTAGTGAAGAAAAATGGAGGCGAGAGTGCTATGTATGCCATCTTGGTTAACTACCGCTCTAATAAATAAATAATATGCAACAACTCTACAAGTGATCCATCACAATGATGGTGATGGAATGAAAAAAAAAATGAAAAAAGAGTTCAGATGACAATATTTTGCATGTGAAAGACAAACCCTTCTGTATTTGCCATGATATGATTCCTCAAGCTACCCTTTCTAAACTGAGAATGAAGAAAATTTGTACATAGTACTTACTGCCAAAACTGCCATATGTAGCTGCAAAACAGAAAAAAAGAGACTGTTCAAAATCTGCATTTTATTTACAATGTGCCCATCACTGCCTGTCAACCAGTCACCAGAAGAGAAAAATTCCGTCTATTTAGTGTGCCACTTTTTATTTGCTAGTTGGTTGCCATAAATAAATAAGTGTTAATGCTTCCTTCCTTGTTAAGGAAGAGGAGAAGAAATAGTTCTCCTGCCTCCTGACAATGGGACAGACCTGCTTCTGCAATAGATGTCATTTCCCCATCAAGAATTTGAAGAATTTCAGGACTCAGATGAATTGCAAGAACATCACTGACACTCTGTGGCCATTTGGCTTCATTACAAAGAAAGAAGCTGGGGTTGATTTTTCTTTCCTTTCTTTTTTCAGTTGTGTTTCCCTCTGTCTAAATACAATATAAATTGTCTTTCTATACCAGAAGAAAATTCCAAACTTAAATCACTCTTTTGCATATTGCAACTGGTCTTCCAAGGACCCAAACTGCATCACTCAACCTTTTTTCAAAATTCAAAAAAAATCATGAATAAAACTATTTCCAAGCATGCAAATATTTCCTTCATGATATTTTATGTCTGTAAAAAGCAATAATAAAACTGAGGATCAAGGCACTGGAACTTTAGATGTGGCATTTGGCATTGCACTGTTAGGATCACATGAAACACTCAGCCAGTGGCATGAATTTGCGATAAGCTATTCGGCACCAAACACGAAGGTTTAAGTAATTTATCTTCTCTTGATTAGATAAGGACTGGGAAAACCAGGGATCAAATGCATACTCAGCTTAAAATTTACTGAACGACTCTGGTCCAGTCTCTGTCTTAAAATCTTTTATAATTATAGCAATTTAACACCTACCTAGCACAAAAATGGGAAAATAAACATTTTACACAGAGACATAAGGCCCTTTCATGTCTCAAGCAAAGTATTGCAGTGCATCAGGCAATCTTTAAAATATGCCAATTAATTAGATTTATTAACATTTCTATAGTTAAGCATTTGAAAGTTTTCAGCACACCATTTGTGTGGAATTGCTTTTGTGTATATGGTCATTCAAGCAAAAGAACAAGAAGACTTTTTTCCTGAAAATTTGGGGTGAAATCACATTGCATCAAAGACACTTTCAATATGAGTTTAACTACAGCTTACATAATTCTTTTCCAGTGCATCAAAACATCCCTGGATCCTATCAAAGAAGAAATGTAGATAAGTAAAACATCAAAAATCTGTTGGTACAAGAAATTTCTAAACTCACAAGTGCAATTAACAGCTGATCACTAATAAAATGAAGAATTGAAATGCAAAATTTAAACCAGATTTAACAGTAAAGATAATATCTCTATCTTTGTACAACCATTGGTTAATGTTGTATATTTAAAGTATACCGACAGGTGCTCATTACTGCATTCTGGCGTTATTTTCTGACTCTTACCATTTAACTACTTGAAGTGATCCCTGGCAACTTTTATCTTCTCGGAGGATTTTTAAATATATATCTGGAAAAAGAAGTACATAATGATCTACATGATAATCATGATGATTAGAATTAACCAACGCTTTATCAGCTTCATTTTCAGGTGCTGTGAAAACTGAACATTGTGAAACTGTGAAACATTGTGAAGTGTGCAATTACTCTTTAGTGCATTTCAATGACAGTTCTAAGGACAGCCTTATAATGTCAAAATGTGAGGTGATTTTCCCTGCGTATGTCAATTTAATTACAGGTATGATGCTCACTTGATGGGTAAGAGTTGCCTTTTAAAACTATTGTCTTTTGTCTTTTTATTTTATTATACTAAGGCAGATCACTTTGAAGAATATATGTCAATTTACATGGTTCATTTTCATGACAATATACGATTATGAAATTATTGTGAGATGAAGTTATTAGGCGCTAGATCTTCAATCGGGACAAAATGAAATGAAATGCCATGATTAGTGTGGTGGTAAAAGGTACCACTCACACACATGTGAGCTGCATTCACTCCCAAACCTCTTAAATGTCCCTCCTAGATGTGAACTGCTTGTATGAAAACCTCCCTGAGTGGACTTTGCTTATCAGAAGGTCACAAAGGGTGATGATATGACCCCAGGATACTGCAACTGTCATAAATATGTTGCCAAGCATCCAAATTTTGATCACTGTATTGCAACAGTTGTGAAAGATAGTCATTTGTTGCTTGTATCATTTGTACCCTATGACTATCATTAAGTACCTTATGATTCTTGATGAACGTATCTTTTCTTTTATGTACACTGAGAGCATATGCACCAGGACAAATTCCTTGTGTGTCCAATCACACTTGGCCAATTAAAAAAAAATTCTATTCTATTCTATAAGTCACTTTCTTCAGTACCCTTGTAACTTCAAGCAGTCACTAAATGAATGATTGCAGGTTCAGCAGTACTTGTTTTACTTTTTGCATGCAAATAAATTTAGCACATTGGATCTTCAAAATGCTTTGTCTGTTTTATGTGAGACAGGTTTGGGCCACTACATTGGACAGCTGTGGCCTGCCAAAAGGGAGGTGTGCAAACGGCTGGCCCATTCTTGCTCCAAAGCAATCTCAGTTTTGGAGTTAAGGCAGTAAACATGTTTACCCTCTAAATAGCAGGTTCCATATGAGCTTTCCGGGAAGAGACCTCGCAGGTAACTGATGCAGGAAATTGAAACTGCAAGCAGCCTTTTCACCAGAACCAGGGATTCTTGCTCAGAAGCAATTCGGCTTGGAAAGAGGGCCGTTTCCTGCGTCAGACAAAAATGAGTTACATGTCTGTTAAGAAAGCAAATTCAAAGGCAAATCCCCAATTTTCTTTCCTAACCATTTTGTTCATCTGGAGTTTCATACCTTCAAGGTTTTATGCTTCTGGCCGATGTGCGTGATTTGGGCCGTAGCCATTTTAATTTAGAGAGCTGGCTTTTGGGTCACAACCTAAAGGAAGATGAGACAGTTCTATGTTTGATATAATTTTTACATTCAATGTGCATCCAGTTTGTGCTTATCCTTTGATTTGTGATGAGCACAAATTGCCAACAGCACCCTCCTGAATATGAGTTTCTTTTGTCCTCAGATTCTGCCTCTGAACTATCTCTGAATTTTTCTCTTTTCAAACTATGCATTTTATGCATTGCTGTTTTTTATGCATTTTTTGCCTTTAAGTCTTTTTTTTTTTAATCTTTTAAATCTTTATTTTAAAACATTTAAGGAGCAAAATAAATGGCTGGATAAAATGTAACTGAAGGAAGTTTTTAAAAAAGACATTATAGATAGAAAGTGTAACAGAATAACAGATTTGGAAGGTACCTTGGAGGTCATCTATTTCAACCCCCTACTCAAGCAGGAGTCTCTATACCATTTTTGACAAGTGGCTATCAAATCTCTCAGTCTCTCCAGTCTAGCCTACAACTTTTGATAAACAAAATTTTACAATTTTACAATGTCATAACTTTTAAAATATATTGTCTCAGTTTGGCGGCTGTTTGTTTTAATTATTTTTTTGAAAAGCTTAAACATTTGTTTCAAAACATGTAAAGGATAAAACAAATGGCTACATATAAAAGACAAATCGGACATCATTGGTAAAAATACATCTGTGAATAAATTTTAAATAAAATTTAACATGTTTTTCATTTTGTTTTTTAAACCAATGCATTTTATGTCCTTCTGTTTTGTTTTTAAATCTTAAATTAAAATCAATGTGATGGGTAAATGAAAAGTTCTTTTTAATAATAATTTTAAGGTACAGGTAACTGAAGAGACAAAAGGGTTTTCTTAGAAATTTAAGGAATAGCCAAGGGAAGAGAAAATGTACTTTATAGTAATAATTTAAGTAAAAGAAAAACAAAGAGTTCTTTTTAACAATAATTTAAGGGGCAGACAATGGTGGAGAACTGAATTGAGACAGAATATCAATTTATTATGACTAATTAAATAAAGATAAAAATGTCTCAGTTTTGAGGGGGTTGTTTGTTTTTATTGTTTTAAAGATTTAAACATTTGTTTCAAAACATTTATAAAAGGCAAAATAAAGAAGATGATAAAGACAAAAAAAGACATTAGGGGTGAAAATAAATCTGTGAATAAATTTAAAATACAATTTGACATATTTTCATATTGTTGTTGTTGTTTTAAATCAATGCATTTTATGCCCTGGTTTGTTTTTAAATCAATGCAACAGGCAAGTGAAGCTGAAAAAAAATATTTTTAGTAATAATTTAAGGGGCAGGCAATGGAAGAGAAAAAGCTCTTCATAATAATTTATGGAATAACCAGTGGAAGAGAAAATATACTTTATAGCAATAATTTAAGCAATAGGGAGCTGAAGAACGAAAGGCTCTCTTTAACAATAAATGGTATAGAGCTCCTTTGAATATCAATTTATTACAAACATGGGAAAAATAAGAGTAACTTTTCAAAAAGCTGTGAGGGGATTTTGGCGGGAAGAAGGAGGCCATCTTGGTCCGCCATCATTTCCCCTCAGGTGCCTCATTCCCCCCTTCAAGCCCCGCCTGGGCAGCTCTCTTCTCAGTCGCTCTTTTAACTTTTTATTCCTTTTTCTTTTATTCCTTGCTATTTATTGCATCCCTCATTCGCCCTTGGAGTCGGAGCAGCCTATAAACCTCCCAACAGAAAGATTAAAATAACTAAAATAATATTTCTTCTTGTAGGGAGTTGGGTACTGACTGGGCTGCCTGCTTTTCCCTTTCTTTGGAGCATCAAAGCTCTTTTCATTTTATTTGGGAGGTAAAAAGTGGCCCAATTGTTAAAATTCTGTTTTGTTTCGTTTTTTTCCTCTCACTCTGCCGTCCCCACTTCTGTTTAGTTAAGCCTCAGACGAAGCTCTCTTTTCAGCTGAAGGAAGATAAAAATTTGGGCGGGAAAAGGCAACACGCTCATATTTTTTTTTTTAGTGAACTCAATTTTTTTTAGCTTCAATGAAGCACACAAAATATTTTTTTTCTTCTTCTTCTTTCAGATCCTATCCTGCCTTTGCATTTGTGGCCTGTTATTATATAATAGAGGATTTCATATATAAGGGAAGAAAATTAAGTCATCCTCCTCCTTAGGGGGAAAGTTAGAATTATTGGCAGTACCACAAGAATTATATAATAGATTTAATGTTAAATAGCCTGTCTTATATTGTCAAGGTTCAATTTCTCTTTGAATTCACTGCTGCTTCACCGCAGTTTACAAGCATCCTTCTAACATTGTGTGTGTGTGTCCCTTTGCTGTAGTTTTCCCCTCTTCCAGTTAATCTAATCTAACCTCCTCCTGCACCATTCCAACCCTTTTCCCCTGAACGCATCCTAAACTCTGTTGCTTTACAACTTCAGCAGCTTTAAGCCTGTGGACTTCAATTCCCAGAATTCCCCAACAACTCCCAGAATTCCCCAGCCGCCATGCTTTAAGATGTACAGGCTTTTCAACTGCTTTTCAACTTCAGCAGCTTTAAGCCTGTGGACCTCAATTCTCAGAATTCCCCAGCCAGCATGCTTGAAAATGGGTGGACTTCAACTCCCAGAATCCCCCAACAACTCCCAGAATTCCCCAACCAGCATGTTTGAAAATGGGTGGGCTTCAATTCCCAGAATTCCCCAACACCTCCCAGAATTCCCCAGCCGCCATGCTTTAAGATGTACAGGCTTTTCAACTGCTTTTCAACTTCAGCAGCTTTAAGCCTGTGGACCTCAATTCCCAGAATTCCCCAGCCAGCATGCTTGAAAATGGGTGGACTTCAACTCCCAGAAGTCCCCAACAACTCCCAGAATTCCCCATGCTTTAAGATGTACAGGCTTTTCAACTGCTTTTCAATTTCAGCAGCTTTAAACCTATGGACCTCAATTCCCAGAATTCCCCAGCCAGCATGTTTGAAAATGGGTGGGCTTCAATTCCCAGAATTCCCCAACACCTCCCAGAATTCCCCAGCCGCCATGCTTTAAGATGTACAGGCTTTTCAACTGCTTTTCAACTTCAGCAGCTTTTAAGCCTGTGGACTTCAATTCCCAGAATTCCCCAGCCAGCATGCTTGAAAAATGGGTGGACTTCAACTCCCAGAATTCCCCAACAACTCCCAGAATTCCCCATGCTTTAAGATGTACAGGCTTTTCAACTGCTTTTCAATTTCAGCAGCTTTAAACCTATGGACCTCAATTCCCAGAATTCCCCAGCCAGCATGTTTGAAAATGGGTGGGCTTCAATTCCCAGAATTCCCCAACAACTCCCAGAATTCCCCAGCCGCCACGCTTTAAGATGTACAGGCTTTTCAACTGCTTTTCAACTTCAGCAGCTTTTAAGCCTGTGGACTTCAATTCCCAGAATTCCCCAGCCAGCATGCTTGAAAATGGGTGGACTTCAACTCCCAGAATCCCCCAACAACTCCCAGAATTCCCCAACCAGCATGTTTGAAAATGGGTGGGCTTCAATTCCCAGAATTCCCCAACACCTCCCAGAATTCCCCAGCCGCCATGCTTTAAGATGTACAGGCTTTTCAACTGCTTTTCAACTTCAGCAGCTTTTAAGCCTGTGGACTTCAATTCCCAGAATTCCCCAGCCAGCATGCTTGAAAAATGGGTGGACTTCAACTCCCAGAATTCCCCAACAACTCCCAGAATTCCCCATGCTTTAAGATGTACAGGCTTTTCAACTGCTTTTCAATTTCAGCAGCTTTAAACCTATGGACCTCAATTCCCAGAATTCCCCAGCCAGCATGTTTGAAAATGGGTGGGCTTCAATTCCCAGAATTCCCCAACAACTCCCAGAATTCCCCAGCCGCCACGCTTTAAGATGTATAGGCTTTTCAACTGCTTTTCAGCTTGACCTTTCCCCAGCCAGCATCCCTTTATGGGTTTTACTTCCCAGGATTCCCCAACTAGGAGGGTGGACTTCCTGAATTCGGGCTGAGAAAGGCTAATCTAGCGATCCAAAGTCATTTCGTGAGCTGTTTTAATTCAGGCTGGAGCCTCTCTCTCCATTTTAGTACATAACTTTGCTCATTTCTCTGCTTTTGCAGACCGCTTTCTGGATTATGTTTTCCTGGCCTTCCTGGGGTATGATTGGCATGTAGATCCATTTTTGATTTTTAACTTTTTTTAAAGATGGGATGGGAAGCACATCAGCTCTTTTCCAGTCCTCTGGTACCTTGAAAGACTTTCAGATCTGGGAATCAGAGGTAAGATTCCCAGATCACCTCTGGCTCTTTCCTTGCCACATCCAGCTTGGCCTCTATAATAATAGCTTTGTTCTTTTCTGTGTGTTGGAAGATCTGTTTCTTGATTATCCTTTATTATTTATTATTATTTATTATTTATTAATTGGTTCAATTTGTATGCTGCCCCTCTCCGAAGACTCAGGGCGGCTCACAATGCATTTAAAATTATTATAAAAAAACATTTAAAAATTAAAAACATTAAAAACTTTTCCGGGATCTTCCCAGCTATTAATGTGAGACTGATTGGTCTGAAGTTTCCTGGGTCTTTTTTTTTTTTTTTAAAGATAGAGGGGTGATATGGGGGGGGGCTTCGAAGACCGCCTGCCAACCGCTTGCGGTCCCCGACCCCCGGCCCCATTTCTTGGAGCCACCCAGCCCAAAGCCGCTTTCGCAATGCCTCCGGGGGTGGAAGAGCTGTTCAAAAGCTCGTGATCCTCTTCTCTTGTTGCAATATTCATCTGGCATCTCGTGCTGGAGGGCAAAAACTCCGCCCCGGCCTGCACTTCTCCAGCGGGAGCCTTTGCGGGAACCGGGAAGCTGCGGAGCGCTCCAGGACCCCTCTCTCTGCAAACATGGAGGCGCCTCGGATAGGGAACCTCTATCTGGAAGATCCCTTGCTCCAGGGTTACCTGAGAGCCCATCTGCCCGCCCAGGTGGGTCAGCGCCAGGCGGGGACTCGGCGGTGGGAGCAGCAGGGCTGGCTCGGCGCTTCTCTTCCTTTGCTGCCCTTGGCCCCCTCCCCACTGCTTTTGCTCCTGCGCCCCTGTTCAGGTCCCTTGACCGGATAGGGACTGGAAGGTGAGGGAACCGCAGCGCTAGATGAGCGAGGATTCCTGCCCGGGCCAAGAGGGTGGACTAGAAGACCTCCGAGGCACCTTCCAGCCAAAGGGTTCTAGGAGAGTGCCAACCAGGTCGGAAAGCTCCAATTCTCTGCGTCTCAGATTTGGGACCGCTGCCTGCCTCGTGCTTGCAGGGGCAAAAAGCAGAAAAAAGGGAGAAATTAAAATACCGGAGGCGGGAAAGACTTTTCCCTGTTCCTGGGACTAGAGCAGCGCTTCCCGAACCTGTTCCTTCATTCCCCAAAACTGCATGTCAGGAGGTCCTTTTTACTTAATGTAGGTAAAACTCTTTAAGTCTATTTAGATATTCTTATTGGGATTGGGTAATGGGTTTGTGCCTTGTTACCATTATATATATTAAAAAAAAACTCTGTTACCCAATTTTACAAGGACTAATATATATTAATATATATTTAATATATATTAAAATATATTAAAAAAAAACTCTGTTACCCAATTTTACAAGGACTAAAGCTGTGCAAAAGGCACTTTGGCTTCCAGGCACAGCTCTTATCTTTTTAATGCAGAGGTTAAAGAGCAAAGACCAGTTGTTCTTTTGTAATGGGAAGTAGACCAAATGGGATAAATAATTGTCTAATAAATCCTTTTGGTGTGACATGCCAACTGGAACTGGGAGAGTTGCTCAATTTCTGTTCCCCAATGCATGAACATGTTTCAGATTCAGTACCAGAGACAGCTGATCGGGAAAAGGAACTTTGTTTCAGAGATGCCTTTCCAACCTGTATTTTCATCGTTTCACCCCAGAAATGGGTGATACGCATGCAGTGAAAGAATATAGAATAATAGGGTCGGAAGGGACTTTGGACTGAATTGTAATGAATATGTGCAGAAACTTCAGGCTAGTTACCAGCTCACATGTATTCCAAGTGTTCTTTAGGAAAGACACTGAGATGTAACCAGATTGTACCAACCACAAATTTAGCTTGAGGTTTGAAGAAGCAACATCAGCTTCAACCGCAAGTGAAACTACAGACCAAATAAGAAAGAAAGAAAGAGAGAGAGAGAGAGAAGGAAAGAAAAAAAGAAAGAAAGAGAAAGAAAGAAAGAAAGAAAGAAAGAAAGAAAGAAAGAAAGAAAGAAAGAAAAAATAAGAAAGCAACATTTCAACTTACCTTCCTTTATTCCTCTCTACTTTCTGGTTGTCTGTGGAGATTCTCAGTTTTCCTGGTCATAGTTCTCTCAAATGTGCTTTTTCAAAAGGCAACTTTCTGGTTCCTGTCTTTCATATTTATGCATTGACCTTGTAGGTGTTTGCTGAGGTGAACGTTGACCTGGAACGGTTCGGAGCTCGTTTGAGAGATGAAATTTACTCTTTGGGTCGTGAGTGTGAGCTAAACCCTCCTAGATTATTGCATTTTGATGCCTGGGGACAACGTGTGGACCAAGTGACCACCTGCCCAGCCTGGAAGAGGCTGAAGGACATCTCTGCTGAGGAGAGCCTTGTGGCTGAAGGTTATAAAAGGAGATATTCCTGTTGGAGGTACTGCTGTGGTTTATGGGAGCCATGCAAAGCCATGTGAACCTGTTTGGGTATCTCTTGCATATTCTTGAATCTTAGCATGGCTTAATGTTTGGTAGGATTCTTTTTTGTAGTAATAATTAATTAAATTTAGATGGTACCCAACTCCCAGTAAATCTCTGAGGGAGATGGGCAGTTTAGAAATAGGAAACACAAACACACATGTCATATTAAATGACAAAGTGTACTTTATGTTACCTAGTCATTGAGTGCTTTGCACCAAGGACTGTTTTTGCTATAGTCTTCCTTTTTTTTTTTTTTTTTTACAAAATAATGACTTGTATTAAAGTTTTAAGATACACAGATAAAAAGCTAATGCAAATTAAGAAAAATATTAAAAAGTAAAAACAAAATATAAAAAGTGCAGAGAAAAATATAAAAAGATATAGTAAACAGGAAAAAAGATATCCAAAGACTTGACTTCCCCCATCTCGCATGTACAAGCAATTTAAATAACTTATAATAATTCCCAAGTGCATTGTTTGCAAATATCCTGGAATTCTTCCAAAGTTAGAATATTTTGCTCCATTCTGTTACTTCTCTTTTAATTATAATCTTTAGTTTGTTTTGGTTCTATGTTCAACCTTCAAAGTCCTTTTATCATGGTTTGTTCTAATCCACAATATTTTTCCCACAGGAAGGTTTATTATATTTAATTTCAAAAACTTCCTCTTTTTACAGAATTCTAAATCATCCATAAGATGAATTATTATAATTATTTTTTTAAAAAAATAAATCTTTATTTATATTTATAGTTAAAAAAGAAGACAACACACCACACAAATAACAAAACAAAACAACAAAACAAAAAACATAAATGCATATAGATATTGCCTTAGTAACCTAATATTTAGTACAAAC